GAGGAGATCTGTAGTTGTTTAGTCGCTCAGTCATGTCCGACTCTTTTGCAACTCCTTGGACTGCAGCCCACCAGGCTCCACTATCCATGGAATTTTCCAGGCAAGAATACTGGGGTGGATTGCCATTTCCTCTTCCATGACCCAGGGACCTTCATGACCCATGAATCTAATCCGCATCTCCTGCATTGCAAGTGGATTCTTTACCACTGAGCCACCAGGGAAGCCTGGAGAGATCGATACATCTGGGAAAAAAATATCTTGTCTGACTCTCCCTGAAGGCTAGTTTCAAGCAGACCGCTGAGCTGTTTTATCTGTCTGCCAGTCTGGGATGATGACCTCTTTTCAAGGTATTTAAAAGAGCAGCATAAGTGTCATATCTCCTCTTCACTGCTGTTTCAATCAGGCTGCTATCAGGAGTTAGACTTCATCCCAGATGGCTGGAATTCAGGAACCTTAGCAGAGTGGTTACTTGCAGATGAATGGGCCGGTTTAGAAGAATTGAGGCAGGCAGATGCTAGCAACCACGGGAAATAGTTGCTACTCAGCTTTCCTAGTGGCTCAGTGGCGAAGACTCCACCTGCCAGTGCAGGAGACTTAGGAGACATGGGTTCGATCCCTGGGTTGGGGAAGAGCCCCTGGAGGAAGTGAAAAGAAAGTGTGAAGGTGTTAGCCACTCAGTCGTGTCTGACTCTTTGCAACCCCGTGGGCTGTAGCCCGCCAGACTCCTCTGTCCATAAGATTTCCCAGGCAAGAATACTGGAGTGGGTTGCCATTCCCTTCTCCAGGACATCTTCATGACCTAGGGGTGGAACCTGGATATCCTGCGTTGCAGGTGGATTCTTTATCATCTGAGCCAACAGGGAAGCCCTCCTCTGGAGAAGGAAATGGAACCCACTTCAGTATTCTTGCCTGGAAAATCCCATGGGCAGAGGAGCCTGGCAGGCTACAGTCCACAGGGTTGCAAAGAGTTGGATGCTTCTGAGCATATATAGAAAGCTGAAAGATATCCAGTATAATTGTTCTTTACCATCAACCAAAGATTTTCCCCCATTTTCTTAAGTTTCCCATCTGCTTCCCATCAGATACTTTTATTTTTTTTTTAACAATGCAACATCTTGACTTCTTGTTAATTCATTAAGTGAAAGTATTTTTGGTTGTAATGTATGAGTATGGGGATTCACCTGAGAAATAGTTGATCAAATTTTTTCACATGAACAAATTGGACTTGGGGAATTTCTAAATGACATGAAAAAATTTTTTACGTGAGTTTGTGTTCTTTGTCATCAGAAAATGTAATTCTTGCAGAATGCATTATTGGTACCATAATATTTAGCACATGTTATTGTCAACTGTAATTGAAGGTTTTTCAAAGTGGGCATTTTAATGTAATCTCTGATCCTAGAGATTTCTTGACACTGTAACTTTGATGTGGCTCCTTTGATTGAAGTATGCTTTTATCAGTAGGATTACTACTTTTATTAAAATTATTGTTGGGGTTCAGTGGCCAAGTCACGTCCAACTCTTTGCAACCCCATGGACTACAGCACACCATACTTCCCTGTCCTTCAGCATCTCCCATAGTTTGCTGAAACTCATGTCCATAGAGTTGGTGATGCCATCCAACCACCTTATCCTCTATTGTCCCCTTCTCCTCTCACCCTCAATCTTTTCCAGCATCGGGGTCTTTTCTAGTGAGTCAGTTCTTTGCATCAGGTGGCCAAAGTATTGGAGCTTCAGCCTCAGTCTCAGGAGCCTCAGTCTCAGGAGCTTCAGTCCTTCCAATGAATATTCATGGTTGATTTCCTTTAGGATTGAATGTGTAAGCTATTTTGTTTTATCCTATACCCAGGTAACATACTCTTGCTGAATTCCACTGTCAGGGATGTGTCGTAAATTGAGGGTGCGGGATGGGATGAGAAATGGGTGAGTTTCCAATATGCAGTGGCCATATTAAAAATAATCCATGCCATTGAAATGGCAGTGGTAAAGTGGCTAGATAAAAAATAAAAACAGAAATGGTCTGCTTGTTTGCACATCTATTCTCTACCCTAAATTGTGAGCAGTTCAGCAGAAACTGAGTTTGGGATCAGCATACAGAAGGATTAACTGCTATATGACTAATTTTCTATATTGCCACTCAGTTTAGCAGTTTGGATTGAGGAAAGGGAAACTACGTGGGTCTGTAGCATTTGATAAACTAGAGGTCCATGAAGAACTATGGTAATGACTGTGAGTGCTGTGTGTGGTGACAAGTGTGCTCCAGCCAGTAACAATGAGGGGATGGTGGACATGGTGGAGTGGTTGGTGGATAGTGTTGGTGAAGGAGTTGTGGAGATAGATACGGGAATGATGATGTTGGTGGCAGAGCTGGCAACATCGGTGGTAGAACTGACGATGCTTATGGTGGTAGAAGACGTAATGAAAGTTGAAGAGGTGAAGATAGTGAGTTGGCCTCACTTCTAATAGAGCTGCTATTAGAAGTGAGGTTGTTGATGGGGATAGGGCAAGTGTTAGTAATGATACTGGTAATTCCATAAATGGTGGTAGAGCTTAGAAATCTTGAAGCTTTATGAAGTGATGTGATATCACATGACATTTAAATTGTTCTGTGTGTCTTTGGCTGGATACCAATAATGAAGCATGGTAAATTTACTTGCAGAGAGATTTGCCATACTGAGCATTCTCATTGCAGATGCTCTTTAAGTTTTTCCTTAATTACTGATACTTGTACCATGCTGTGCCAAAAAGCAACACTCTTGTCAGTTTCAACACTGTGCATAAGTTCTTCTAATAAATATTATTCAGCCCCAATTATTGGATATTTTTAGAGTAAACCTGGCTTCCCCTATTCAATGCAGTGCTCTTCAGAGTTGATTTTTATCCGGAAGGTGATGCTATTTAGTCAGGGATTATCTTTTATCTCTGTTTGCAAAACAGCTGGAAGTGTAGCTACTGAGATTTGATGTTTGTCTTCCTGCACTTGACTGCCAAGCAAAATCATTTCATTTTAATCGACAGAATTTACCTTTGTAAATTAGCATGTGCATATACCATTGAAAGATTGAAACTACAAGTTTGACCTTCTAGTAGGTATAATACATGATCTTTTTTTTTTTTTTTGGATAGATAGAATGTTCTTTGTCTTTCTCATGGTATGTTTGAAATTAAACAAAAATGTCCGTAGTGAATTTTCCCTTTTCATTGTTTAAAGTAAACCTCCTAAAAAAAAAAAAAAAAAAAAAAAAAAAAAAAAAAAAAAGTAAACCTCCTTCTCTCTGCCTGGCCACAGGTGACTTATTCTTCCAACTGGGAGACCACATTTGATTCTAGAGACCAGTATGAACCTGCTCAACACATTTTCAGCTTAAACAACTGAGAATTTTTCTTATTTGATGTATTTAAGAGTATCCACGGTTTATGGTTACTGAATATTTGCTATGCAGCTGGCACTTTTCATGGCTATCTCATGATATGTTCTAATACATTCACATTTTATGGATAAGAAAAGTGGGGCTTTGGGAGCCACACTTATACTTGGCAGAGCCAGGATTTGGACCCAGCTGCTTACTGGTACCCATGCTCTTAACCGTTATGATACATTTCCTGTAGATTTCCACCAATGTGGAATTTAGTTCAACTCTCCTTTTCTACTTGAAAAACCAAGTAGATTTATTTTTTTTAAAAAAACGTCTGGGTTTTTTGGAGAAGAATAAAGATTGCCCTCCAGGAGAAAGGGAACCATATGGAAATTATCCATTTTATTCTTGACTTAGAAAATGTTTGTTTAAATAATGGGATCGGACTTGGAGTTAGAAATCTGTAAGGTTAGTTACACACTCTACAATCTACCAGCCCCGAGATCACAATTTAGTCTCTTAATCCGCAGAATTTGGGACATTAGAGGCTCCTTTCCCTCATTTGCCAAAGAGAGAAATAATCTGCCCTATTCATCTTAGATAGTAACAACTTTGTAAAGATTGAACTCAGAGTAACTTGACTGGACCCCTGCAGTGATGTCCTAATCAATTACCCTTCTTCTGATCTCTACCTTGCAAAGTTCTTCTCCATGATAGTTTCCCTAAAGTGTCCCGTTAACCATGGCTCTTGTCTCATCAGAAACCTTCTTTATGTAACCATTAACTGTAGGATAAAATTAAAGTGCTTAACTTGATATTCAAGTTCTTTTGCATCTAGTCCTTCCAATCACACCTTTCACATTCTCCTTTAAAGAACCTATATGCTACTTTATTTTTTTTTTTTTTGAAATTTTGAGATTTTTCATTTGAAGGTAAATCTTAATGCTATTAAATTCACAAATATGCTAATTTAAATACCCAACTCTATTATCTAAAACACATATTGCAAACATACAAATATCTATTCTCTCCACATGTCAGAGCCATTCGTTTCATGGTTTGGAAATGGGGAGAATAGATTCCCCTTAAACTGCAAGTCAGCAGGTGTTTCTTTACAGTTAACTTTAGCAAAATTCATACAAAATAGTAATTAACAATGATCTTCTTTACTTGTTAACTCACAAGGAAACACCTTCAAAACTGCATTTTGTTAAAGTTTCTGTACTAAAATGTAGAAAAACTGAACTACACAAATATTGAAAAGTTAAAAATTCCTTAATTTTTTATTCCTGGTACCACTACCACAATTTACAGGGCAATATACCTGATGTAATGAAAAGAAAAAGAAAAAGAAAAAGCTACAACAGATAAAAGACCTCAGGAATGTACACCTAATTGACACTACATTGCATTAATCAATAGCTGCACTTTTTGCAAACTGTGGCTATGACAGTCCTGAACAAGAAGGGTTTCCTGTTGAAGCTGCAGTAACTTTTCTGACTGTGGATCATCGTTCCTCCTGTGGCAGATTTTTACAGTTCCTCTAACGCATTTGGGACGACTGTCTCAGAGTAACCTGCAGCTTTCCTGACAACTCCTCGCTCTCTCTCCTGCTAAGAACTGTAGCCCTTTTCTTCTGAGTTTTTAGAACCTTCTGCTACCATATCCACCACTTCCACCACCAGATCCATAACCACCACCATAGGGACTGCCCGAGCTGCTTCCACCAAAACTACCCCCTTTCATGGGTCCATAATTTGATTGCTGTTGTCCACTATAATTTCCAAAATCATTATCGTTTCCACCACCACCATAGTTACCACCTCCAAAATTTCCTCCTTCATTGTAACCATCGTATCCTCCACCACCGCCACCATATCCACCACCTTGGTTTCCATATCCTGGTCCACCACCACCGTAACCTCCTCTGCTACTATAACCAGGACCACCGCCATAGTTGCCACCATCACCTCCAAATCCATTGTATCCACCATCACCTCCTCCATAACTCCCTCGGCTGCCACCACCTCCACCACCATAGCCTCCTCTTCCACCAAAGTTTCCACCACGGCCAGAGTTACCTCCACCACCTCCAAAGTTTCCTCCACGACCCATAAAGTTGCCAGATCCACCTCCACGACCTCTTTGTGATCCAGCAGATTGCATCTCTTGTTTAGAAAGGGCCTTTTTCACTTCACAATTATGCCCATTAATAGTGTGGTATTTCTGAACAACAGTTTTATCAACTGTATCATGATCATCAAAAGTTACAAAAGCAAATCCTCTCTTTTTCCCACTCTGCCTGTCTTCCATAACTTCTATGGTTTCAATCTTGCCATACTTTTCAAAGTAGTCTCTCAAATTATATTCTTCTGTATCTTCTTTAATACCACCAACAAAAATTTTCTTCCCTGTTAGATGGGCACCAGGCTTTACAGAATCCTCTCTAGAAGCAGCTCTCATTGGCTCCACTACACGCCCATCACCCTTGTGCGGTCGCGCACACATTGCTGCATCCACTTCTTCAACACAAGAGTGAGTCACAAAGCCAGAGCCCCTGGAACGTTTTGTTTGGGCGTCTCTCATCACCACACAATCTGTAAGCGTGCCCCGTTTCTCAAAATGTTCTCTTAAGCTGTCATCTGTAGTTTCAAAGCTCAGACCACCGATAAACAGCTTTCTCAGCTGCTCTGGTTCCTTGGGGTCATGACCCTCCTCCCCCCGGCGGCGGCGGCGGCGGCGGCGGCGGCGGCGGCGGCGGCGGCGGCGGCGGCGGCGGCGGCGGCGGCGGCGGCGGCGGCAACGGCCGGAGTCGGGCTGGGGGCGACCGGGCGGCGGTTTTACCTCCATTTTGAGACCGGACTCGGCTCTCCCAACTCGAGTTCAATATGGGACCGAGAGCCTATATGCTACTTTAACAGAATTGTTTGTTGTTGTTATTCTTCACGCCTTTGTTCAGGCCTCGAATTACTTGTCCATTACTTACTTAAATATTTTTACACAGCGTGAAGTGAGGACACAGCAAGAAGATGATTGTCTGCCCACCCCGAGGGAGCTCTCACCAGAACCTGACACTTGTGGTACCCTGATCTTGGACTTCCAGCTTCCAGAAAGGTGAGAAAATATAATTTGAGTCATATAATTGAATCACCTAATCTGTGGTATTTTGTCCTGGCAGCCTGATAGTACAGTGGACCCTTGAACAAGTACAGTGTAAGTAAGACAAGTACAGTGGACCCTTGAACATCACGGTCTTGAACTGCACAGATCTACTTATATGTAGATGTTTTTCTACAGTGGATACTGCATTACTGCACCATCCGAGATTGGTTCAATCTGTGATACAGGTCCACGGATAGAGAGGGAACTCAGTTATGGAGGGCCGGACTATAAATTATATACGGATTTTCAATAGTACTACACAATCTAAAGTTTGTTGGTTGAATACAGAAATGCAGAGGAGTTCCAGATATAAAGAGCAGACTATAAATTATAGGCAAATTTTTGCTTGTGGAGGATAGGTGCCCCTAACCCTCATTTTGTTTAGGGATCAACCGTATCTACTATTTGGAATGTTGAAGAGCGAAAATTCCTTCATTTTTGAGTCTGTGGTCTGGATTGCTAGCTGCTGAGTTTTACCTGAATCTTGGGGTCACCTGATCTTAGCTAATCTCCTTTGCCCAGGGAAATTTCCAGTATGTCTCAGACTAGGGCTCATTTTTGATCAATAGTTTGAGTATTATGGAAGTTTTCCTGAAAGTGAGATGTGGAAATATAGATGCCTTCTTCCTGTTGAAGGTGTCTATTTGAGTGGATGAATCTAAACTGAAAAATACTGATTATTTCTGCTCACTAGTGGGAAGAATAACAGCTAAAGTGATCATCAAAATGATTGGCATGGCCTGTTATTTCAGCAAGATCATGAGTGAGAGGTACTGTTGAAAGGGAATAAAAGAAGGAATAATACATTAATTATTTTGGGAAAAAGGGGGAAAATTAAGGACTATGGTTGAAATACTATTGTTTTTCTATTTTTAAGAAAATTATGCATTTTCCCACTTCACTCTAGCTTTATAATGTCATTTTATTCAACACAGCATTGCTTCTCCTTGGGAATCATGATGGGAAATTAATCTCAACATTTAATTGCAATGTGTTAGTGTTAACATGCCTTATGAAGGTAGTCAGGAGACAGATCTGTAGGTTTGCTTCTCCACAGTCTGATACCATGAGCTAATGGGAACAAGGTTTAGGGGGTCTTAGTGTGCTAATGGGCTTCCTAGGTGGCTCAGTGGGTAAAGAAACTGCCTGAAATGCAGGAGATGCTGGAGATATGAGTTCAATTCCTGGGTCAGGCAGATCCCTGGAGCAGGGCACGGCAACCCACTCCAGGATTCTTGCCTGGAGAATCCCATGGACAGAAGAGCCTGGTGGGCTAGTGTCCATGAGGTCACACAAAGAGTTGAACATGACTGCACGACTAAGCACAGTGGTTTTCTAGTGTTCACATGACCCTGGGAGCTTGTTTGGTTTCAGATTTCCAGAACAATTTCTGGGATACGGGTTCAGAAGGTCTAGGGTGGGGATAAGTATGTACATTTTTAAATAAGCATCTTTGGTAATTCTGATGTAGATGGTCTAAAGATTACATGGCTTCTAAGGTATACCAAGTTAACCTTTTAAAGCCTATTTCCTGTTCAGAAGAAAGTTCTGATCTGCCTATGGCCACTTGAGGCGACATTTAGAGATGCCAGTTTATTTGTATGATTGAATTCATCTGGGTGCTAGTTAATTGAATTGACCCTTGAATGTCTATTCCAGGTGCTTCAGGGTAGGACCATCACCAACTCCCCCCGCCCCCTCCAAAAAAGGAAGAAGACAATGACTCTGAGAGAAAGAAGTGTTATTTAGCTTAAAGGAATGTAAGCAGGAATGGAATGCCAGACATCAAGTGTTGGAAAGTTTTGAGTGTAACCTCCCCAGGGTCCTTCAAACTGTGTCCCACATAGGCGTGAGGGGTACGGGTAGCTCCGAGGGTGGAACTGAAAGTTCCAACCCCTTATTCACCCCTCCTCCCACTCACCTGATTGCTTCTCTTGGAATTGTGCTTTCTGAAAGTCACCTTTTTTTTTTTTTTTTTCTTTAAAAACTAGTAAACTCAGTTGTGGTTGAACGGGACTTGTTATGAATGAGAAAAAGGACTTTTTTTCCTTTTCGCCTCTAATGCTCTTATCACTTAGGACACTGTTAGTACAAAGGAGAGAAGAACTGGCCAGACTGGTAGGTGGAGATTGGAATAAGCAAGGATATTTACAAACGAGGCTTGTCTTCCACTGTTGCAAGAGGGTTAGATCTCTGCACCAGAGGTCTTAAAAGTTTATGTAGAGGACTTAACTGTTCATTCGTATATGCTGGGCCAACGATCTCAACACCATGGGGCTCTCTCAAAGGTTGCATGCTTGAAAACAGTTCCAGCTGCGGGAATGGTGCGCAGTATGTACATGCCATGGACGGGGGATGGGGTGAGGGGGGTGATGAGCCTCCAGTTGCCCGGGGCCAATTCAGAAGTCAAGGGGAGGTCATGTCCTCTCAATGACCTCCTCCAACAGAAATTCCGAGGTTTTTAAGAACTCTTCCTCCCAGGACTGGGAGAAAGAACGGGTGTATATATTTCTTACTATAAATCATGACATCACAGTCTGCCTCACATGGACGCCTCTGTCAGTGACTTTGCCTCTAAGTGGGTCTGTCCTTAAGGTATTGTTGTTCTGGAGACTTTATTTGCTTTTTCTGTATTACTTTGAGTGTGATTATTGTTTGGTCAGAAAACTATAGCTTTTACTTTAGATAATTGACTTTAGAGGGGTTTGTTGCATTGTTAAATGTTATTTTTATTTAGACTTAGGGCTAGAATATTGCCTGTGGGGAACATATCTTTGGCTTGGTAATGGAAGTTAATGGGAAAAATACATTTTGATTAAAAGAAAATTGCTTTATAGTCAGTTTTTAAACAAGAATTGGAACAATTGCATTAGATGAGATAGCCCAGTATACCTACTCTCCAAATGTTATTTACTTTTTGTAGTATGGCTATTTTCAGTGTTCTCTTTACCTTCTTAGCTTTGCCTCCTCCAATCAGATTGTTAGGGTCTGATTTCCTAAGTAGGCAATATCTAAGTCAGATAACATGAAGGATACAAAACTCCAATATTTTGACCACCTGATGTGAAAAGTTGACTCATTAGAAAAGACCCTGATACTGGGGGAAATTGAGGGCAGAAGGAGAAGGGGGTGGCAGAGGATGAATTGGTTGGATGGCATCACCGACTCAATGGACGTGAGCCTGAGCAAACTCTGGGAGATGGGGAGGACAGGGAAGCCTGGTGTGCTGCCGTCCATGGGGTTGCAAAGAGTCGGACATGACTGAGTGACTGAACAGCAAACATTTTGGAAACAGTAGTACTATAAAATGTAAGATACTGTTAATTTTATGGAGTCTTCTTCCTCTTTTGTGCTATGCCTAGATCCTTGAGAGAATTGGTCTGAAAGATAGTCTAATTGTATACTATTCTGTGTGCTCACAGATCCCCACTCTACCCCGCAGCTTGAGGTAAACAAACTGGAATGTATTGTTAAGTTTCCCTTTATCTGTCTTCTATAAATTCAAGATCAAGTGGTGGAGCTGGAAGTGGAGAGGAGATCTGTAGTTGTTTAGTCGCTCAGTCATGTCCGACTCTTTTGCAACTCCTTGGACTGCAGCCCACCAGGCTCCACTATCCATGGAATTTTCCAGGCAAGAATACTGGGGTGGATTGCCATTTCCTCTTCCATGACCCAGGGACCTTCATGACCCATGAATCTAATCCGCATCTCCTGCATTGCAAGTGGATTCTTTACCACTGAGCCACCAGGGAAGCCTGGAGAGATCGATACATCTGGGAAAAAAATATCTTGTCTGACTCTCCCTGAAGGCTAGTTTCAAGCAGACCGCTGAGCTGTTTTATCTGTCTGCCAGTCTGGGATGATGACCTCTTTTCAAGGTATTTAAAAGAGCAGCATAAGTGTCATATCTCCTCTTCACTGCTGTTTCAATCAGGCTGCTATCAGGAGTTAGACTTCATCCCAGATGGCTGGAATTCAGGAACCTTAGCAGAGTGGTTACTTGCAGATGAATGGGCCGGTTTAGAAGAATTGAGGCAGGCAGATGCTAGCAACCACGGGAAATAGTTGCTACTCAGCTTTCCTAGTGGCTCAGTGGCGAAGACTCCACCTGCCAGTGCAGGAGACTTAGGAGACATGGGTTCGATCCCTGGGTTGGGGAAGAGCCCCTGGAGGAAGTGAAAAGAAAGTGTGAAGGTGTTAGCCACTCAGTCGTGTCTGACTCTTTGCAACCCCGTGGGCTGTAGCCCGCCAGACTCCTCTGTCCATAAGATTTCCCAGGCAAGAATACTGGAGTGGGTTGCCATTCCCTTCTCCAGGACATCTTCATGACCTAGGGGTGGAACCTGGATATCCTGCGTTGCAGGTGGATTCTTTATCATCTGAGCCAACAGGGAAGCCCTCCTCTGGAGAAGGAAATGGAACCCACTTCAGTATTCTTGCCTGGAAAATCCCATGGGCAGAGGAGCCTGGCAGGCTACAGTCCACAGGGTTGCAAAGAGTTGGATGCTTCTGAGCATATATAGAAAGCTGAAAGATATCCAGTATAATTGTTCTTTACCATCAACCAAAGATTTTCCCCCATTTTCTTAAGTTTCCCATCTGCTTCCCATCAGATACTTTTATTTTTTTTTAACAATGCAACATCTTGACTTCTTGTTAATTCATTAAGTGAAAGTATTTTTGGTTGTAATGTATGAGTATGGGGATTCACCTGAGAAATAGTTGATCAAATTTTTTCACATGAACAAATTGGACTTGGGGAATTTCTAAATGACATGAAAAAATTTTTTACGTGAGTTTGTGTTCTTTGTCATCAGAAAATGTAATTCTTGCAGAATGCATTATTGGTACCATAATATTTAGCACATGTTATTGTCAACTGTAATTGAAGGTTTTTCAAAGTGGGCATTTTAATGTAATCTCTGATCCTAGAGATTTCTTGACACTGTAACTTTGATGTGGCTCCTTTGATTGAAGTATGCTTTTATCAGTAGGATTACTACTTTTATTAAAATTATTGTTGGGGTTCAGTGGCCAAGTCACGTCCAACTCTTTGCAACCCCATGGACTACAGCACACCATACTTCCCTGTCCTTCAGCATCTCCCATAGTTTGCTGAAACTCATGTCCATAGAGTTGGTGATGCCATCCAACCACCTTATCCTCTATTGTCCCCTTCTCCTCTCACCCTCAATCTTTTCCAGCATCGGGGTCTTTTCTAGTGAGTCAGTTCTTTGCATCAGGTGGCCAAAGTATTGGAGCTTCAGCCTCAGTCTCAGGAGCCTCAGTCTCAGGAGCTTCAGTCCTTCCAATGAATATTCATGGTTGATTTCCTTTAGGATTGAATGTGTAAGCTATTTTGTTTTATCCTATACCCAGGTAACATACTCTTGCTGAATTCCACTGTCAGGGATGTGTCGTAAATTGAGGGTGCGGGATGGGATGAGAAATGGGTGAGTTTCCAATATGCAGTGGCCATATTAAAAATAATCCATGCCATTGAAATGGCAGTGGTAAAGTGGCTAGATAAAAAATAAAAACAGAAATGGTCTGCTTGTTTGCACATCTATTCTCTACCCTAAATTGTGAGCAGTTCAGCAGAAACTGAGTTTGGGATCAGCATACAGAAGGATTAACTGCTATATGACTAATTTTCTATATTGCCACTCAGTTTAGCAGTTTGGATTGAGGAAAGGGAAACTACGTGGGTCTGTAGCATTTGATAAACTAGAGGTCCATGAAGAACTATGGTAATGACTGTGAGTGCTGTGTGTGGTGACAAGTGTGCTCCAGCCAGTAACAATGAGGGGATGGTGGACATGGTGGAGTGGTTGGTGGATAGTGTTGGTGAAGGAGTTGTGGAGATAGATACGGGAATGATGATGTTGGTGGCAGAGCTGGCAACATCGGTGGTAGAACTGACGATGCTTATGGTGGTAGAAGACGTAATGAAAGTTGAAGAGGTGAAGATAGTGAGTTGGCCTCACTTCTAATAGAGCTGCTATTAGAAGTGAGGTTGTTGATGGGGATAGGGCAAGTGTTAGTAATGATACTGGTAATTCCATAAATGGTGGTAGAGCTTAGAAATCTTGAAGCTTTATGAAGTGATGTGATATCACATGACATTTAAATTGTTCTGTGTGTCTTTGGCTGGATACCAATAATGAAGCATGGTAAATTTACTTGCAGAGAGATTTGCCATACTGAGCATTCTCATTGCAGATGCTCTTTAAGTTTTTCCTTAATTACTGATACTTGTACCATGCTGTGCCAAAAAGCAACACTCTTGTCAGTTTCAACACTGTGCATAAGTTCTTCTAATAAATATTATTCAGCCCCAATTATTGGATATTTTTAGAGTAAACCTGGCTTCCCCTATTCAATGCAGTGCTCTTCAGAGTTGATTTTTATCCGGAAAGTGATGCTATTTAGTCAGGGATTATCTTTTATCTCTGTTTGCAAAACAGCTGGAAGTGTAGCTACTGAGATTTGATGTTTGTCTTCCTGCACTTGACTGCCAAGCAAAATCATTTCATTTTAATCGACAGAATTTACCTTTGTAAATTAGCATGTGCATATACCATTGAAAGATTGAAACTACAAGTTTGACCTTCTAGTAGGTATAATACATGATCTTTTTTTTTTTTTTTGGATAGATAGAATGTTCTTTGTCTTTCTCATGGTATGTTTGAAATTAAACAAAAATGTCCGTAGTGAATTTTCCCTTTTCATTGTTTAAAGTAAACCTCCTAAAAAAAAAAAAAAAAAAAAAAAAAAAAAAGTAAACCTCCTTCTCTCTGCCTGGCCACAGGTGACTTATTCTTCCAACTGGGAGACCACATTTGATTCTAGAGACCAGTATGAACCTGCTCAACACATTTTCAGCTTAAACAACTGAGAATTTTTCTTATTTGATGTATTTAAGAGTATCCACGGTTTATGGTTACTGAATATTTGCTATGCAGCTGGCACTTTTCATGGCTATCTCATGATATGTTCTAATACATTCACATTTTATGGATAAGAAAAGTGGGGCTTTGGGAGCCACACTTATACTTGGCAGAGCCAGGATTTGGACCCAGCTGCTTACTGGTACCCATGCTCTTAACCGTTATGATACATTTCCTGTAGATTTCCACCAATGTGGAATTTAGTTCAACTCTCCTTTTCTACTTGAAAAACCAAGTAGATTTATTTTTTTTAAAAAAACGTCTGGGTTTTTTGGAGAAGAATAAAGATTGCCCTCCAGGAGAAAGGGAACCATATGGAAATTATCCATTTTATTCTTGACTTAGAAAATGTTTGTTTAAATAATGGGATCGGACTTGGAGTTAGAAATCTGTAAGGTTAGTTACACACTCTACAATCTACCAGCCCCGAGATCACAATTTAGTCTCTTAATCCGCAGAATTTGGGACATTAGAGGCTCCTTTCCCTCATTTGCCAAAGAGAGAAATAATCTGCCCTATTCATCTTAGATAGTAACAACTTTGTAAAGATTGAACTCAGAGTAACTTGACTGGACCCCTGCAGTGATGTCCTAATCAATTACCCTTCTTCTGATCTCTACCTTGCAAAGTTCTTCTCCATGATAGTTTCCCTAAAGTGTCCCGTTAACCATGGCTCTTGTCTCATCAGAAACCTTCTTTATGTAACCATTAACTGTAGGATAAAATTAAAGTGCTTAACTTGATATTCAAGTTCTTTTGCATCTAGTCCTTCCAATCACACCTTTCACATTCTCCTTTAAAGAACCTATATGCTACTTTATTTTTTTTTTTTTGAAATTTTGAGATTTTTCATTTGAAGGTAAATCTTAATGCTATTAAATTCACAAATATGCTAATTTAAATACCCAACTCTATTATCTAAAACACATATTGCAAACATACAAATATCTATTCTCTCCACATGTCAGAGCCATTCGTTTCATGGTTTGGAAATGGGGAGAATAGATTCCCCTTAAACTGCAAGTCAGCAGGTGTTTCTTTACAGTTAACTTTAGCAAAATTCATACAAAATAGTAATTAACAATGATCTTCTTTACTTGTTAACTCACAAGGAAACACCTTCAAAACTGCATTTTGTTAAAGTTTCTGTACTAAAATGTAGAAAAACTGAACTACACAAATATTGAAAAGTTAAAAATTCCTTAATTTTTTATTCCTGGTACCACTACCACAATTTACAGGGCAATATACCTGATGTAATGAAAAGAAAAAGAAAAAGAAAAAGCTACAACAGATAAAAGACCTCAGGAATGTACACCTAATTGACACTACATTGCATTAATCAATAGCTGCACTTTTTGCAAACTGTGGCTATGACAGTCCTGAACAAGAAGGGTTTCCTGTTGAAGCTGCAGTAACTTTTCTGACTGTGGATCATCGTTCCTCCTGTGGCAGATTTTTACAGTTCCTCTAACGCATTTGGGACGACTGTCTCAGAGTAACCTGCAGCTTTCCTGACAACTCCTCGCTCTCTCTCCTGCTAAGAACTGTAGCCCTTTTCTTCTGAGTTTTTAGAACCTTCTGCTACCATATCCACCACTTCCACCACCAGATCCATAACCACCACCATAGGGACTGCCCGAGCTGCTTCCACCAAAACTACCCCCTTTCATGGGTCCATAATTTGATTGCTGTTGTCCACTATAATTTCCAAAATCATTATCGTTTCCACCACCACCATAGTTACCACCTCCAAAATTTCCTCCTTCATTGTAACCATCGTATCCTCCACCACCGCCACCATATCCACCACCTTGGTTTCCATATCCTGGTCCACCACCACCGTAACCTCCTCTGCTACTATAACCAGGACCACCGCCATAGTTGCCACCATCACCTCCAAATCCATTGTATCCACCATCACCTCCTCCATAACTCCCTCGGCTGCCACCACCTCCACCACCATAGCCTCCTCTTCCACCAAAGTTTCCACCACGGCCAGAGTTACCTCCACCACCTCCAAAGTTTCCTCCACGACCCATAAAGTTGCCAGATCCACCTCCACGACCTCTTTGTGATCCAGCAGATTGCATCTCTTGTTTAGAAAGGGCCTTTTTCACTTCACAATTATGCCCATTAATAGTGTGGTATTTCTGAACAACAGTTTTATCAACTGTATCATGATCATCAAAAGTTACAAAAGCAAATCCTCTCTTTTTCCCACTCTGCCTGTCTTCCATAACTTCTATGGTTTCAATCTTGCCATACTTTTCAAAGTAGTCTCTCAAATTATATTCTTCTGTATCTTCTTTAATACCACCAACAAAAATTTTCTAGATGGGCACCAGGCTTTACAGAATCCTCTCTAGAAGCAGCTCTCATTGGCTCCACTACACGCCCATCACCCTTGTGCGGTCGCGCACACATTGCTGCATCCACTTCTTCAACACAAGAGTGAGTCACAAAGCCAGAGCCCCTGGAACGTTTTGTTTGGGCGTCTCTCATCACCACACAATCTGTAAGCGTGCCCCGTTTCTCAAAATGTTCTCTTAAGCTGTCATCTGTAGTTTCAAAGCTCAGACCACCGATAAACAGCTTTCTCAGCTGCTCTGGTTCCTTGGGGTCATGACCCTCCTCCCCCCGGCGGCGGCGGCGGCGGCGGCGGCGGCGGCGGCGGCGGCGGCAACGGCCGGAGTCGGGCTGGGGGCGACCGGGCGGCGGTTTTACCTCCATTTTGAGACCGGACTCGGCTCTCCCAACTCGAGTTCAATATGGGACCGAGAGCCTATATGCTACTTTAACAGAATTGTTTGTTGTTGTTATTCTTCACGCCTTTGTTCAGGCCTCGAATTACTTGTCCATTACTTACTTAAATATTTTTACACAGCGTGAAGTGAGGACACAGCAAGAAGATGATTGTCTGCCCACCCCGAGGGAGCTCTCACCAGAACCTGACACTTGTGGTACCCTGATCTTTGGACTTCCAGCTTCCAGAAAGGTGAGAAAATATAATTTGAGTCATATAATTGAATCACCTAATCTGTGGTATTTTGTCCTGGCAGCCTGATAGTACAGTGGACCCTTGAACAAGTACAGTGTAAGTAAGACAAGTACAGTGGACCCTTGAACATCACGGTCTTGAACTGCACAGATCTACTTATATGTAGATGTTTTTCTACAGTGGATACTGCATTACTGCACCATCCGAGATTGGTTCAATCTGTGATACAGGTCCACGGATAGAGAGGGAACTCAGTTATGGAGGGCCGGACTATAAATTATATACGGATTTTCAATAGTACTACACAATCTAAAGTTTGTTGGTTGAATACAGAAATGCAGAGGAGTTCCAGATATAAAGAGCAGACTATAAATTATAGGCAAATTTTTGCTTGTGGAGGATAGGTGCCCCTAACCCTCATTTTGTTTAGGGATCAACCGTATCTACTATTTGGAATGTTGAAGAGCGAAAATTCCTTCATTTTTGAGTCTGTGGTCTGGATTGCTAGCTGCTGAGTTTTACCTGAATCTTGGGGTCACCTGATCTTAGCTAATCTCCTTTGCCCAGGGAAATTTCCAGTATGTCTCAGACTAGGGCTCATTTTTGATCAATAGTTTGAGTATTATGGAAGTTTTCCTGAAAGTGAGATGTGGAAATATAGATGCCTTCTTCCTGTTGAAGGTGTCTATTTGAGTGGATGAATCTAAACTGAAAAATACTGATTATTTCTGCTCACTAGTGGGAAGAATAACAGCTAAAGTGATCATCAAAATGATTGGCATGGCCTGTTATTTCAGCAAGATCATGAGTGAGAGGTACTGTTGAAAGGGAATAAAAGAAGGAATAATACATTAATTATTTTGGGAAAAAGGGGGAAAATTAAGGACTATGGTTGAAATACTATTGTTTTTCTATTTTTAAGAAAATTATGCATTTTCCCACTTCACTCTAGCTTTATAATGTCATTTTATTCAACACAGCATTGCTTCTCCTTGGGAATCATGATGGGAAATTAATCTCAACATTTAATTGCAATGTGTTAGTGTTAACATGCCTTATGAAGGTAGTCAGGAGACAGATCTGTAGGTTTGCTTCTCCACAGTCTGATACCATGAGCTAATGGGAACAAGGTTTAGGGGGTCTTAGTGTGCTAATGGGCTTCCTAGGTGGCTCAGTGGGTAAAGAAACTGCCTGAAATGCAGGAGATGCTGGAGATATGAGTTCAATTCCTGGGTCAGGCAGATCCCTGGAGCAGGGCACGGCAACCCACTCCAGGATTCTTGCCTGGAGAATCCCATGGACAGAAGAGCCTGGTGGGCTAGTGTCCATGAGGTCACACAAAGAGTTGAACATGACTGCACGACTAAGCACAGTGGTTTTCTAGTGTTCACATGACCCTGGGAGCTTGTTTGGTTTCAGATTTCCAGAACAATTTCTGGGATACGGGTTCAGAAGGTCTAGGGTGGGGATAAGTATGTACATTTTTAAATAAGCATCTTTGGTAATTCTGATGTAGATGGTCTAAAGATTACATGGCTTCTAAGGTATACCAAGTTAACCTTTTAAAGCCTATTTCCTGTTCAGAAGAAAGTTCTGATCTGCCTATGGCCACTTGAGGCGACATTTAGAGATGCCAGTTTATTTGTATGATTGAATTCATCTGGGTGCTAGTTAATTGAATTGACCCTTGAATGTCTATTCCAGGTGCTTCAGGGTAGGACCATCACCAACTCCCCCCGCCCCCTCCAAAAAAGGAAGAAGACAATGACTCTGAGAGAAAGAAGTGTTATTTAGCTTAAAGGAATGTAAGCAGGAATGGAATGCCAGACATCAAGTGTTGGAAAGTTTTGAGTGTAACCTCCCCAGGGTCCTTCAAACTGTGTCCCACATAGGCGTGAGGGGTACGGGTAGCTCCGAGGGTGGAACTGAAAGTTCCAACCCCTTATTCACCCCTCCTCCCACTCACCTGATTGCTTCTCTTGGAATTGTGCTTTCTGAAAGTCACCTTTTTTTTTTTTTTTTTTTTTCTTTAAAAACTAGTAAACTCAGTTGTGGTTGAACGGGACTTGTTATGAATGAGAAAAAGGACTTTTTTTCCTTTTCGCCTCTAATGCTCTTATCACTTAGGACACTGTTAGTACAAAGGAGAGAAGAACTGGCCAGACTGGTAGGTGGAGATTGGAATAAGCAAGGATATTTACAAACGAGGCTTGTCTTCCACTGTTGCAAGAGGGTTAGATCTCTGCACCAGAGGTCTTAAAAGTTTATGTAGAGGACTTAACTGTTCATTCGTATATGCTGGGCCAACGATCTCAACACCATGGGGCTCTCTCAAAGGTTGCATGCTTGAAAACAGTTCCAGCTGCGGGAATGGTGCGCAGTATGTACATGCCATGGACGGGGGATGGGGTGAGGGGGGTGATGAGCCTCCAGTTGCCCGGGGCCAATTCAGAAGTCAAGGGGAGGTCATGTCCTCTCAATGACCTCCTCCAACAGAAATTCCGAGGTTTTTAAGAACTCTTCCTCCCAGGACTGGGAGAAAGAACGGGTGTATATATTTCTTACTATAAATCATGACATCACAGTCTGCCTCACATGGACGCCTCTGTCAGTGACTTTGCCTCTAAGTGGGTCTGTCCTTAAGGTATTGTTGTTCTGGAGACTTTATTTGCTTTTTCTGTATTACTTTGAGTGTGATTATTGTTTGGTCAGAAAACTATAGCTTTTACTTTAGATAATTGACTTTAGAGGGGTTTGTTGCATTGTTAAATGTTATTTTTATTTAGACTTAGGGCTAGAATATTGCCTGTGGGGAACATATCTTTGGCTTGGTAATGGAAGTTAATGGGAAAAATACATTTTGATTAAAAGAAAATTGCTTTATAGTCAGTTTTTAAACAAGAATTGGAACAATTGCATTAGATGAGATAGCCCAGTATACCTACTCTCCAAATGTTATTTACTTTTTGTAGTATGGCTATTTTCAGTGTTCTCTTTACCTTCTTAGCTTTGCCTCCTCCAATCAGATTGTTAGGGTCTGATTTCCTAAGTAGGCAATATCTAAGTCAGATAACATGAAGGATACAAAACTCCAATATTTTGACCACCTGATGTGAAAAGTTGACTCATTAGAAAAGACCCTGATACTGGGGGAAATTGAGGGCAGAAGGAGAAGGGGGTGGCAGGGTTGGATGGCATCACCGACTCAATGGACGTGAGCCTGAGCAAACTCTGGGAGATGGGGAGGACAGGGAAGCCTGGTGTGCTGCCGTCCATGGGGTTGCAAAGAGTCGGACATGACTGAGTGACTGAACAGCAAACATTTTGGAAACAGTAGTACTATAAAATGTAAGATACTGTTAATTTTATGGAGTCTTCTTCCTCTTTTGTGCTATGCCTAGATCCTTGAGAGAATTGGTCTGAAAGATAGTCTAATTGTATACTATTCTGTGTGCTCACAGATCCCCACTCTACCCCGCAGCTTGAGGTAAACAAACTGGAATGTATTGTTAAGTTTCCCTTTATCTGTCTTCTATAAATTCAAGATCAAGTGGTGGAGCTGGAAGTGGAGAGGAGATCTGTAGTTGTTTAGTCGCTCAGTCATGTCCGACTCTTTTGCAACTCCTTGGACTGCAGCCCACCAGGCTCCACTATCCATGGAATTTTCCAGGCAAGAATACTGGGGTGGATTGCCATTTCCTCTTCCATGACCCAGGGACCTTCATGACCCATGAATCTAATCCGCATCTCCTGCATTGCAAGTGGATTCTTTACCACTGAGCCACCAGGGAAGCCTGGAGAGATCGATACATCTGGGAAAAAAATATCTTGTCTGACTCTCCCTGAAGGCTAGTTTCAAGCAGACCGCTGAGCTGTTTTATCTGTCTGCCAGTCTGGGATGATGACCTCTTTTCAAGGTATTTAAAAGAGCAGCATAAGTGTCATATCTCCTCTTCACTGCTGTTTCAATCAGGCTGCTATCAGGAGTTAGACTTCATCCCAGATGGCTGGAATTCAGGAACCTTAGCAGAGTGGTTACTTGCAGATGAATGGGCCGGTTTAGAAGAATTGAGGCAGGCAGATGCTAGCAACCACGGGAAATAGTTGCTACTCAGCTTTCCTAGTGGCTCAGTGGCGAAGACTCCACCTGCCAGTGCAGGAGACTTAGGAGACATGGGTTCGATCCCTGGGTTGGGGAAGAGCCCCTGGAGGAAGTGAAAAGAAAGTGTGAAGGTGTTAGCCACTCAGTCGTGTCTGACTCTTTGCAACCCCGTGGGCTGTAGCCCGCCAGACTCCTCTGTCCATAAGATTTCCCAGGCAAGAATACTGGAGTGGGTTGCCATTCCCTTCTCCAGGACATCTTCATGACCTAGGGGTGGAACCTGGATATCCTGCGTTGCAGGTGGATTCTTTATCATCTGAGCCAACAGGGAAGCCCTCCTCTGGAGAAGGAAATGGAACCCACTTCAGTATTCTTGCCTGGAAAATCCCATGGGCAGAGGAGCCTGGCAGGCTACAGTCCACAGGGTTGCAAAGAGTTGGATGCTTCTGAGCATATATAGAAAGCTGAAAGATATCCAGTATAATTGTTCTTTACCATCAACCAAAGATTTTCCCCCATTTTCTTAAGTTTCCCATCTGCTTCCCATCAGATACTTTTATTTTTTTTTAACAATGCAACATCTTGACTTCTTGTTAATTCATTAAGTGAAAGTATTTTTGGTTGTAATGT